CCCCCCCCCAATAGCAAGCTTTCAAGTTTGAGAATTTAGGCAAAATGCAGAAGCCCCTGCCTGCAATAAGCTGAGGGTTTGCTTAGTGGGTGAGACACTCAAATCTGTCCATGAGACCCCTCTTTGAATATTTCACACAATTTGTTCATAGGATTTTATAAACCATTTCCTGGCTGACTTGGAAGACATTTTCTCATTTAATGAACAATACCTACGGTGAAACTGCAACTAGGAAAGAAAAAGAATTTCGTGGCCTGAAAAACATCAGTAGGGAATCCGAAACGTTCTGAAAAATCAACATCAGTCCCTTGACAGCTTGGCTGGGACCTGGATATTTATTTCCACTCAAAACATTTCTATGTGTCTGATATATACAGGCTATTGTTTTTGACAAAATCAAAACAAAACAAAACATGCATCACAACTATTAGATAGCAGAGAAAATGCAATTAGTCTAAACATCAACTAAGGTCAGTTCGGCTGAGGCTTAGGGGCTCCTTGTGAGATGCCCACTCTAGATCTAGGGCCTGGTCCTCCACTGAAAATTAATTATTGGACTTTGGGAAGGAACCTTAAACTCTTAGGCTGTTGTGCATCTTGCTATGAGTTGGGGGCGCTACTTCTCAGAAGGAGAGGGAAAAGAAGCAGAGATGGTAAAAGGAGTTTAGGGGGCCCTCAGGTTCAGTGAGGTTAAGGCAGGATACCCCAGCACACGTAGAACAACTCCATTTGGCATTCTGGAACCCCAGCCTCCACAAAGCAAGCCTGGTGGGGCCCAGGGCCTTTCAGACTCCATGGGGGCAGGCCAGAGATGGCCTCAGAAAGGGCACAGTGGTTGGGCCCCTGGTGGAGTTGGCAGGTGAAGAAGAGAGGAACTTCTGCTCCTCTGTATTTGGTCTAGAGCAGCTATGAGGGGCTGAGGACCTGAGGGAACTCCTTCTTTTCCTGCCCCTGACTGATGGAGGAGCTTTCCCTTCTCCCTGCAGTGGCCCATTCCTGTAATTCAAGGAAGAAAAGACCTGTCGACACCTTTACCCACCTTGTCAGGAAAGCCATATTTACAATGGGAATGTAGGACACTCCCCCACCTTGTTCACTCCCTTCTCCTGTCCCGGGACTTCCTCTCCC